CCTGCTGAAAATAGCACGAACCATAAGTTTTTATGAATTGCGTTAAAGTTCTTCTGACGACTGGCTTTTGATGGGTGATTCTACGTGTCTTAGTAAAATGTGGTGTTATAGTCAGGTCGGAATAGATTACTCAATTGAAATTTCAATTGAATGCATTTAATCCAGCTTTTCATAAGTTCATTGAATGCAATCCAAATTCAGTGATCAACTATCAGTGATCAGTGATCAGTTATCAGTGATTTAATGATCAGTCGGCTCTATGCTCACTGATAAGAACAACCACTGATAATGATAAGATAAGAAGTTCTTCTTCTCATTTGTTTTATCATGTTTCCTGTCAACACATTATCAAACAAGACAAGTCCATCTTTGCATCACATTCCTAAACTCCTTAGCTTTCGAAGGAGCTAATATGCTTCTTCGTGCTCCTGTCTCAGGAATAACTAATGACACGGACGAGCATTTCTCTGTACACCTACGAAGAGATATCTCACTCCTCTGTCACCTATGGAGCCGATTCTGACGAGTTCATAGAATGCAGCAGCACGCTAGAAAATGCTTACATCATTGGACTCTTATCGTTCCGCCTTTTGTTATAAATATCATTCACTGCTTCACCGCTTTCAAAAAATTCGTATCGAATCGAAGACCACGTCAGCGTTACTAATTGTCTGTCAACAGCAAAAATCACTCACTCATGCAAAACATCAAACACACTCACGTTTGATGACGTTCATCGATGTATCGATACTTGCCGTGTTCGTAGTTGGTGAAACAACACATCTGCTGATTGATAGCGATTCTAATTTCCTTATTGCACAACATATAAACGAGAAGGCGAGTGGCACATGTGAACACGTAAAGAACTGAGATTACATCGGTACATGTCTCATAAATCTGCAAATCGCTTCAAATGCATAAGATTGATAACCCAACAAATTCATTAAGAACATGGGACACATGTGCAAAATGTTAGAGGAGCGAAAATGATATCACCTAGGCATTCCATAAATGGGGATTTCTATGTTACATCTGAAGAGAGCTAAAATGTTAGATGCTATCAAGATGAGCCGGGGGTAGGAAAGGCAAAAACAAGTGCGGTTAGCCAAACGTACTTAAGAGCACTTCCAGTTCATATAGGTATGTTCAAGGAGTGATCTGAGAATGTTAGAGCAATCGTAAGGTAAAGTTGAACTGTTCAAATCGATAGGGTGTTGATGGACGGAAACGGTCCTAATCTAATAAACTGGATTTATTTTGATTGAATATCTAGATATTTTGTGGGAAGGTGACACCAAAAGATGCACACATTAGCATATTTTTGATTTTCTTTTTCAGAAAGACCTGCTTATGCAGGCTAATTTATCGGACAAATTTGTAAACCAACCCAAAAATTATCAGGTGTGACGGCTGACTCGAAATCCACGTACTCCCACGCTGTGATGAGTACGTTCAAGACATTTGCCATCAGATACGAACACACAATGAAAACGGTTAAACGAGTTGCTGAACGAATTTTCATCTGTAATTCAGCTCAAGTACCAATGAAGATTATCATCTTTATCAATATGATTCCAGATAGAATATAACTCAGCTCTATCAGCTGAATGAACTCACAACATTACCTACAACTTATTTTCTTATTTTTAGATTTTTTTTAATCTTTGTTAGAGATTAAGAACTTATTTGAAAGCTTAAACTAAGAGTTTTGCATCAGTTAGGTTTTCTCTACTTCACCGGAGTTGAGTGAAACTGAATTGAGAGAATTCGGTTGAATAATTCTTAATCTCTGAGCAATTCATAGGACTCTTCCATCTTTTTTTTGAGCTTGCGAAATCTGCAGTAAATCATCTCAAAAAGAGATTACCTTATGTTCGCTGCAAGCAAATTTGAACATTGCAGCTTTCCTTTGCTGTGCCCGTAGTGTCGCAACAATGCGCACGTTCAAGTAGGCCAACAAAAAGAATGGCACAAAAACAGTTAATATATTCCGAAAATAGAAACGAAAAATGGTGCCGTAAAGCCACGTTGAGACGAGAGACGTCAGCATTGGTTCGAACTCAGTGAGACCCGTACAGTTCCCATTTCGCATCACCTGAACTTGACAAATTTTGAATCAGACTTGTTTTGCGCTCCTTTAATTGACACTGCGATTAGCTGTGCTCTTCAGTGTGATCAATTGACAATTAACATTGTTGTGCTCAAACTTCCAAGAGTTTCAAAACTCTCCAAAAACACCTGTCCGGACGTTATCTGCAGTTAGCGGATGAAGGGTTTTAAGAACTCATTGTGCCACTTGTAAATGAGGAATATGTATGGAACTGATAAGTCACCCTTCAAAAGAAGACTGCNATTCGAGGTGTTCGTGCTGTCAATCCTTTCAAGCGAGTCAAAAACGCATAAGAATATCGATATGATCGGAGATTACTGATGTGGCGATTAAAGTGAACCTATTTTGAGTCTAAATAGTATTGGCTGAAGGTGTGTGAAGTTAAATTAGATGTCAGAAGTGTGAGCGATGCCATTTCATTCTTATGTAGTGTTCAAGATCATCCATGCATGATCTGGTGAACAATGCCCGCAAATAATATTCTTCGAGGGAGTGTCTATCGATGTTGGGCTGAGTACAAACTCAAGTCATCTGATCTACTTGCACAGAGCACTGAGCATTCTATGAAGAATCATCATATCACGCTCGCAATCTGGCCATCCCATATCATATGTCACATGAGATGCACGTTCGAAAAGCTAATGGTTTCACGCTTATTGTTAGAAGAATTCCATTCATGTGTTCCTCGAAAGCATACTCAACTGCGAATATGCATGCAACTGGTTCATAAATTACTCATGGCATGTTAATCACTGCAGTGAAACAAATATGTCTGTAGCGCAACGAAGTTATTAAATGTTGGTATTTTTTGCATCTGCTCACACAAACTTCAATCTCAGCTACAGACCACAGTTTTGCCTTACGTTTGAGCAGAATATTTCTTCTATCATGCGAATTTCGAAAAGATACGAAAAAAGAAGTGAGTCGCAAATGACAGGATGCAAACTCGGAAACAGTTTCGCTTAGAGTTAGTAATTACAATCATTCGCACTGTTCTCATCGAAGTGAAGTGGAGGACACTTATATTATACAATGCCCAATAAAAATGCATGTTTTTAGATGATTACTTCGCTTTTTCGAATCACGCTCATCAAATTATCGTAGGAATATCTTGAATGCCTGCTAATTCCTAATTTAATCTTAGTACAAGCCATCACGATCGGGTGCATTCTGAATTACCACATTTCTTGCAGAGATCCACGGATGGAATACTCAACTGCGAATTTGTCACAAGACCAATTGACCGATGATTCAATTTGTCTAAAGAATCATCAAGGGACACTCGGATTAATGAGTGAAGTATCGCCTAGTGGAATCGATGGTGCTCTCAACAATTAAGGTTTCATAGTATCCTCTTTATGTTTAGCTGACATTTCAAACCGGAGGAAACGGTATCGTTCTAAAGTTAACTACGAAGTTAAGTTAAGGCTATATTTCGAGCATTTTTTTGCATGAACTGAACTGTCTATAAAGGGCAGCTGATCAATTGCAAAGTGCAGCAAACTCAATGATTTTGGATGTGCCCTTCAAATTCCATATTATCATCTTATCCCAAAATCATTCGTTTACAACTGATGGGGCATAATTTTGATCATTTCTCCTCGCATAAACAACAATGAAGACAACTCGAGCAAAGAATTCAGTGCACCTCAATTTCAAAAACAGCGCTTCCACGAACCACCAACGCCAAAGTGAACATGAACATGGCGAGCGCTTGGCGATACTGTCGAAATTTTTGTAAGCATTTTGCTTTTTGTGTTATCAAATAACGCTCAATCGTCGCCAATATAATCAGAAAACACGAAAAAGTCATCGAGACGTGACACAACGCTAGCAATGGGCCAATATACGACCACCACAAACGATTGAGCCAAAGAGCCTGAAATTTTTTTTACATGAACTGAATTTTGTTTGTCATAGGTTTTGTTGACTTTTATTGATCCCATCAACGCAAACTGCAATCATAGACCTATGATTTTTGATGATCAAATAGTCCAAA